CTGTGGTATAGTCTAGCTGAGTTGAAGACTAAAAATGGCATTAATTTTAAAATGTGAAGTTTTATTTTTATCTCTTATGCCAAACCTTATACAGCAGTGATGCTTTAGCAAAAGCTGTGTGTTGGGTGTTCTGCTGGGTTTTCTTGTATTTTAAGTGTTGGCTTTTGTGTACCTGTGATTCACAAAGTACATTCATTTTTTTTGTGTGTGATTAACCTGAGCCATATATAACTTTGAGTTAAAAGTTACTCAACATGAGCTTTGAGTAGCTTTGGGGATATATTGTTTAATCTGAAATAAGTTGTTACCAAAAACAGTTTCCTAATGATGCAGTATTTAGGATGAGGTCTATGTCCACTAAGCTTATGTGCCACTACTCATAATACTAAATGTTTTCTCTGTGAGGAGAAAAATGCTTTTTTGAAAGTTCTTTGCTACACTTTCTTGAATATGAAAGCTGCATCTACTGCTTTTCAAGAGTTTTAGGCAATTAGTGGGAAAGTAGAGCTGTTTATTTTCTGCCTCTGTAGTTAACTTCAGGATTCTCAGGAGATTTAGGTCTTTATGCAAAAACAACTGAAGTAACCTAATGAATTTTGTTAAAAGACATATGTTTTATATTTCACCAGCTTCTAGTAGTGATCAATCTGTGTGCTTAATGCTTAGTCAAGGTACTGAACTGGTTTTCTATTTACCAGTTTCACTTGGTGCTTGAGATCTTGACTTTTTCTCATTCACCAAGTTATTCAAATTTGTGAAACCAATTGGGGCTTGAAAAGGCAGAAGGCCATGTGTGGGTAAGAACTTAGGTTTCAGACACTGAAATATATTACATTTATAATAAGCAGAATTCATTTGGTTTAATTCTCTTATGGTATGCTTGTAATTTGTCTAAAATTTCTTGCAATTAAAACTGTCCCATGGCTGTCATATCCAGCATAGAGAGGATACTTGACAGTAATACTTACATTTCCTGTGTTGCTCAGCTTGATTTGTAAAAACTACTGGCGTAGGATCCTTAGTGCCTGGAGATGGGCTTGCAGCTTGTTGCTGATACATCAGCACTTAATGATGACCATGCTTATCTGAGGGATCTGTGTGAAATTCCCACCTTGTATATCTTACAAAACTACCTCCAAACAAAAATAATGACATGAAATAGTATGACATTAAGTTGCCTTTTCCCCTTTCACTCTCCTCATAATAAATGTTGCTTTCAAAGGGGAAATTGTGGAATTAGCTTGAATTTAGTGACTTGCGTTCATTTTAGTATGCATGTAGCTAAAGCTCTGTCTTAATTTTAAACATTAGATTTTGACCAACATCATTTTTCTATCAGAATAGCAGCTTCAAAAGGAGGTTTGTGAGGTCAGTAAAGATGAGACTACTGAGATGCAGCTACAGAAGCAAGATTTCTATGGACTTTATTTAGCTAGAAGCTCTAGGCATAGAGCCTGGCTGCAAGAACAGTTTTATGTCTGCTGTAAGAGAATAACAGCTGTTTACTAGTATGCCTAGTTTATGAATCTAGTAAATTTTGGGCTGATTAACAAATGCAAGTTGAGAAATTCAGAGCTGATTTTGTGACTTCAAAACACCTGGAAAGGAAGCTGTTCTGTGATGCTTGAGAGTCTCCAAACAGTCTTGTAGAATTCTCAAAGTAGAAAATAAGTGAGCATAGAAAACCTTTAGCATATGATATTCTTTGTTCCTACCTTTTAAGGAGGAACAAGTTCTCTCTGAAGAGAGAGACTTTGAAGAATTAGATAATGTGTGTCTCCCCAGTAGTCAAAGATTCTTGTCACAAGAATTATGAAGCAGCATACCTCAAGGCGTATGTTACATCATTCTTGTCAATGGGATTTTGTGGTGAATTTTTGAGCCTTACAGAAGGGGTTTCAGTGCCTCTGGGAGCTAGTGGAGTCCAGTAACCATAGTCAAATCTACATAGGGTTCTGTCCTAAACCCTCTGCCACAGCTGAGCTAACTGAACTTCTCAAGCAGTGAGCCAGTAAATCTTGTTTTGCCCTCTGATACAAAATCCTTAAGCTAATGCATTTCTTAAATTTGAAACTGAAAAGGCCTTGAACTACATAGGCTTGCTCAGATGGACATTGGATTTTCTTGCACCCCTGAATAAAATGGAAGTAATATGTAAGCTGTTTTTCTAGTGTGATAAGGTACTAATCCTTTCTTTAAGGGGAGGTGTGAAATAAATATACTCTATATTAGATAAATTGCCAAAGAGTCAGTGCAAACTTGAATTTGACAGTGATTTTAAGAGCAGTAGCTTAAACAGTTGAAATGGTTTCTTTCTGTTACAGGAATTGTGCAGCATGTTTTCTGGGTGGAACTTCATGGCCCATGGGTTATATCTGTTCTTGAATTTTTGTTCTATTGAAGGTAAGACTTCTCTCTCAAATATGAGAGACTTGTAGAATGGTAAGAAAATGAAGCATTAAATTGCAATACTTCTCATAAGTAGTCTGTACACAGAGATAATGGAGATGACAATTCAGTGGAAGACTGCATTGGTTCCACTGGTATTGCTAACATTAGTCACTCTAAAATATTAAAGTGGTAAACTTGGTCCTGTTGAGTCAAACTTGAAGTGAAACCATGTTTGGCATATGTGAAGTTAAATCACAATATCTAAGTGACCTCTCTTGGTCAAACTAAATGACAATAAAATGCTAACGAGCTTGTTTGGCCACTGTTTTTGGCCACTCAATGTTTGGGCCACTTTTATTTTGTAGCAAATGATAATCTTATCTTAGTATGGCTATGAATTCAAGTCAGTATCTCAGCTCATCATGCATCTTTAAAACTTACATTGATATTTTTAATATGATTTTCTTCTGTGGAAATTTTGTTATAAAGAGAATAGTG